CTTAAAATTCTTTATTTTAGTAACATTTGATTTACTTGAGATTTCATGGTGTTATGGGATACACAAAAAACAAGGAGTTGGAAGACCGTTACTCAGGTCTCAACTCTGCCTCTGTCATGTGCTGTCAGTGTTGTTGTGCTGCCTCTAACAAGTCGGTTTTCTTATCTGAGGCTCAATGTTCACATCTATTTAATGGGATTAATGGTATCTGCACTTCTTGCTTTTCTCAGCTTGTTACAAAGTTTAATGAGATGTGTATGAAAGCACATGACAAACTGTGCTGTACTATACAAACAGAAGAAAGTGTTATTATTTTAAGGAACTGTCCCCCAGTTTTCCTGTATCTTCCCTCACATGTCTTCAGATCCCTCATTCTATGTTTTGAGCTTTTCAGGGTCTCTTTTTCAAACCTCTGTCTTCATTCCTTCAAGATGCTATGTCTCAATAATAACTCTTTAAACTTAGCCTCTGACTAATAATTTAGTATGAGAAGAAAACTGAGACAGTCTTATATTATTTATTAAAATTGTACCAATCTTTGAGAAAAATAGGATTACCTGGCAGAACTTTATGTCAGGCACTTTCCAACACTATGTCTTTTTTTTTGCAACGATCTCAAATGTTTAAGAGCTGTATAAAAATTTTACTCCCTTTGTGGGCCTGAGTAATCAGGTGTAGTCATTGCCACCCCCAAAAACATTCTAACTAAGAATCATATTACCTTAAAGAATACTGGAAACTGTAATTGTGCAAAACAGGGGCATGTCAATGCCCCTGTTTTTTTGTTTTGTTTTGTTTTTATTTTTTTTTCTGTTGTGGTGGAAAAAGAAAAGGATTAGACTCAAGTTTTTAAGTTCATAGATTTCACTATTTACTATCTGTGTGGCCTTGGGCAAATAACTTATTATCTCTAAACAAACAAAGTTATTTGTTTTGTCTGAGGAAAAATAAATAGAATCAACAATGTCTGTCCCAATGCGTGATTGGGAGTGATGGTATTTGTTTGAGTTTGTATCTTTTGGTTTCATGTGACAGGGACCACACAGGTAATCCAAACAAAGAGCTTCTGCTATAAACACATGTGTGAAGTAATGAAGGAACTCATGGAAATCAGAGAGCAGGAGGTGTGATGGAGCTGGACCTCCCCAAGCCCAGAGACTGGACCTCTGCTCATTATAGGGAACTCGGCAATGGAAGTCTACAAAGCCTCATCCTGGTGCAGGGAGTTGGGTTGACTCTGTTGCTCTTCATGTTTTTTCTTTTAATTCTTCCATCTATTGGCTTTTCCACGTATGCTTCACCAAAGCTCGGGTCAACTAGGTCTCTCTCACTCACTTCTGTCTTTTGACATCCTTTCTGTTGCTAAGTCGTTCTCTTGATGTGTGTTTCCCAATTCATAGTTTTACAAAGAACAGCCAGTTCTTGGACCGGCTCATTTATTCAGTTTAAGGAATATGTTCCTGTCTAGATTATGAATGGCCACTCCTCCAATAGTGGGCCCACATTGGTGCAATCAACTCTCTGCAAAGGGGAAGATATAAAGAGCTGTAAACATGGCTCTTGTATGTGCAAGGGCGGGGCATAGAGAAGTTTCCCATAAAGAGGTAGAGCGTGTTGCCTAAGGGGTCAGGTTCTAGACTTTGCATGAATTCAAATCCCGACTTTGACACTTTGAAAAGATGTCATGGCAAGCAAGTGACTTAGGCTCTCTGGGTCTCAGTTTTCTGATCTGAAAAATTAGTGTGATAGTTCATACCTCATAGGAGGAGTATTGATGAGTCTTAAATAACAAAAGTCAAGCACTTAGCACAGTTCTTGACACAAACTAAACCCTCAGCAAAAGCTAGCTATATCCATATCAGGAGAAACAGGTTTGATCCAACACTTGGGGGTACTCTATTAACAATTATTTACATACCCTTTGTGTGGAGATAAACAATACTGACCTGTCCTGGTCTCTGTCTCCAAAATACACCCACATCCTAAAAATAGGGGGCATTCTCCATGACCTGACAGAATCACCTAATGCCTCACTGAGGAAACAGGGTGCTACAGGCTTTTGAAAAGTCAGCGTTAGGCTCTTCTCACTGGAATTTAAGTAGCTGACTCTCAGTTTACCATCACTGGGCCCAGTTCATGCTGGATGGCGAATGCAGGCAGCCCAGTTGAGCAGCGTACTAAGTGTCAAAGATGAGGCCTTCTCCAGGGGGCTGCCATGTTTGCAGAAATGGCAACTAATTTCTTCCAGCATTTTTCCAACAGGGTCTTGGGAAATCATTGGTTTTCACGCAAAGAAAAACACAGTGAGCTAAAATATACATTAAATGAGATGGAGTGCTTGTTTCAGGATGTAGAAATTTCCTTTACTGTTATACAGTGATGCTTTATTTATTTGGTTGTGTCAGAAAATCAGCCGTTTTATACAAGTGAAGTTCAGAGATAGCTGAAGTTTTTCCATGTCAGTTCTGAAAGTGTTTTTAACCTTTTTTATGAGTGTCTTCCTAAAATATATCACATACTTCTGCCTTCTTAACTGAAGATGCAAATTTCAAGGCTAACATGTATTGAATACTGACTACGTACCTGGCACCACATGTCAGTGCTTTATGTGCATTAATTTTCAATGACAGCCCCGTGAAGTAGGTACTATCCTAACTCCCACTTTACAGATGTGGAAACTGAGGCATAGAGAAGTTCAGTAACTTTTCCCAGGTTATAGAGGTAGAAGTGGTAGAACTGGGATTTGTACCCCACGCTCCCCAAGCTCTTAAGGAATTGGCCATGTTATTGGGTAACATTTCAGTTAATAACTGACCTGGATAACTGCTAACCGTTAAAATAGGACCTTTGGGAGTCTACACATATCATTCAGAAACGTATCCATTACTCCAAACATTCTTTGACTGCTTTTTAAAAGGAATTAGTACTCAAACTGGCAGCACATATTTTTGAATATCCATGACTCTTTCTTCATTCAGCAGATGCTACTTGAATCCCTACTATATTTCTTTGGGTCCGATGCATGCCAGGCACACTGGAAGCAGAGAAATATGAGGCATATGGCTGCCTTCAAGGAGGGCGCACTTTAGAGAAGCACCGGCTGGGACAGTATGTGAAACTTCTCTAATTTGTGGTTGGGAAAACTTTGAGAAGGTGGTGAGTTTTGAGCCCACACTTCAAGGAAATCATTTTACTCATCTTTATTCAATCCCTTTGTATGAGACTCATAAGTGAGACCAGTGGACACACGTGGAGTTAGATGCTTCCTTGGGTCCAAAGAGATCAGGGAAGAAATAGGAAAGACGTGCTTAAGAACTAGTTCAAGTCGGCCAGGCACAGTGGATCATGCCTGTAATCCCAGCACTTTGGGAAGCCGAGGTGGGCGGATCACCTGAGGTCAGGAGTTCAAGACTAGCCTGGCCAACTTGGCGAAACCTCATCTCTACTAAAAATACAAAAATTAGCCAGGCATGTTGATGTGCACCTGTAATCCCAGCTACTTGGGAGGCTGAGGCAGGAGAATCGCTTGAACCCGGGAGGCGGAGGTTGCAGTGAGTCAAAATCGCACCATTGCACTGCAGCCTGGGCAACAAGAGCGAAGCGAAACTCCATCTCAAAAAGAAAAAAAAAAAGAACTAGTTCAAGTCATCTAGCTTGGAAAAGAAGCTGTGGTTGGATGCTAATGGATGTTGGGTCACACTGAAGAGTGTACTTTCTATAGTACGAGTCTTTCTGAGATGGTGGCTTCTAAAAACAGAAAGTACAGGCTGGGCAAAGTAGCTCACGCCTATAATCCCAGCCCTTTGGGAGGCCGAGGCAGGTGGATCACCTGAGGTCAGGAGTTCAAGACCAGCCTGGCCAATATGGTGAAACCCCGTCTGTAATAGCCGGTCATGGTGGCAGGCGCCTGTAATCCCAGCTACTCAGGAGGCTGAGGCAGGAGAATTGCTTGAACCTGGGAGGTGGAGGTTGCAGTGGGCCGAGATTGAGCCATTGCACTCCAGCCTGGGCAACAAGAGCAACACTCTGTCTCAAAAAAAAAAAAAAAAAAAAAAAGTACATTACAACCACATCTGTTGGGAAAAAATCCATGTTTAATGAGATGTGTTTTCCCATGTGATTAGCAAATGGGTGTTAAATGAAATTCCCAAGAGTAGTTCTGATAAAATAAAAAGAGTCCAGGAGCATTGCTAATAGCATCATTGGAATCAAGTGTATGGTTTTCCATTATGATGACTTTGATATATTTTAATAACTTTCTTATTCCAAAAGTAATGTGTTAATCAGAAATTTCCAGTAATATCTCTCATCTGGAAATAACTTAGATTTTTGAAACACTCCAGTATTTCCATATCTATTGGGGCATTCCTTTGATCTCTCTTTGAGTCCCGTCTCCTCCAGCGGAACATAATGTTATCTCCTGATGGCTCATATTCTTTATTATGGGAGCTGTTTATGCATAGTGCTGGTGTAAGTGTGCGTGATGATTGAGGAGAGATGGTTGGTTGTTTTGAGACCTTTTTAGTTAGGTCTTCTTTCTTTTTCTCAGGCACTGGCTGGTTGCCATTGGGTCTGGCTGCTTTCCATGTGTCTGTTTATAACCTCTTCCTGGTAAATTTTTTACCTTTGATTAAGTACTAGGAATTCTAATAGCCAGGCTAGTCAATATGTTTTTAGAGTAAGCATAAACAGGTTCTGAGAGAAGACAAAGGGGCCATCTCTTGAATCAGTGTAAACTCTGCAGCTACTGCTTTCACTGCCACAAATGTATTACTTGTCTGCATAGAGGTAATTGAATTTTGCTTTATTGGTGACATCTAGCTAAGTGGCATTACTCTTAGTGATACTTTGCCAAAAAGAAAAAAAAAAAAAAGAGAGACGAAGGAGTGAAGAAGGGAGGGAGGAAAGGAGGAGGAGAAAAGGAAGAAAAGAAAACCAGGTCGGTGCTTTCTTTTGGATCTCATGTTGAATTTCTCTCCTTTCACGTTTGCTTTTCACAGTGGATTAAACTTCATTGACTTGATGGTGCGACAAGGGAATATTGACAACCCTCCCAAGACTCCCCTGGTGCCAGGATTTGAGTGTTCTGGGATTGTTGAAGCTCTGGGGGACAGCGTGAAAGGATATGAGGTAATGTTTTGATTCTCACTTGAAGAGTAATATTCATTTCGAATCCATTGAGACAACAAAAGATGATGCAGAAAGAAGTGTTTGAAATAACCTATGGCATGCATTATTATTATTGTCTTCTTATTTGGACTGTTGACAATGTTTATAGTCATTAAGGTCTCATGCCTTTCTTATGGACTATCTTGGTTGCTCCCGGAAACATTCTGGTGCAGTGAGCAGGACAAATCTTGTCTCCCCCTTTAGTCATGTCATGCAGCTATTAAACAAAAGTGTTTGGTGTTGGATTAACTAAGTGTGCGTAGCCCCTTCCCATATCCAGAACTCTCATTTTCTCATCATCTTCAGCTCAAAATGCAACTACAAAACACAGAAGTTTGGAGGAAATGGACTCTCTATTACATAGCTTGGCTCCTTCAGAGTCACTTAACTGGTACATTTAAGTGATCATTTATAAATCCCTAACTATTTCAGGGATTGGGAAAGTAGCATTTTGGATGAAGAAGATCTTAAAGAGTGAAGTACCTGATAAGTAGAATGGAATTGGCCATGGACTGATGGCTTTGGAAGTAGCGAAATGGGCAAAAAGGTTTATTCTATTATACTGACTACTTTCGTATGTGTTCAAAATTCTCCTTTTTTAATTTGTAAAAAGATGTATGACCTTTCCTACTATTATAACGCAAATCAAATAGAAACCAATCTATAAAAACTCCGAACCTGTGCGCAAGTCAATTGCACAAAATTGCAGTCGTTTGGAGTCAGAAAAACCAATGCAAATCAGGTACAAGAGCTCTTACTCATAACTAAGTGCTCCCCTAGGGAGGAATGAACATTTGAGAACCGACTATAATCAGAAACATGGAGAAGTTATCTTTTTAAAGCCTCCACCACAGCCCTGCAAAGCAAAGATTGTTATCCCCTTGCAGATGAGGTTTGAGAGGGTTCAGTAATTTTCTGTGAGGTCAGAAGGGTAGTTAGGACTAGCAGAACCCGGATTTAAATCACCAGAGCTTGTTTATCCTCTTTACAGTCTCATGATCTTCACTCCCTACTCCCAGCCCCCAAATACTGCGATAATAAATGCAGGACAGGAGAACTAAAGAAGAATTCTACAAAATGCAGTGCCAAAATGCCCTTGAAATGGAATTGGAGCCTGGTTCTCAGTCTCAATGTGTCTGAGCCTCAGTATCCTGTGAAAATATCAATATGCTCCAAATTCATTACGGAAAATGTCTGGAAATCTCATCCCACTTATCAGTAGTTTTGCCAATGGTGTCCAGATAAGACAGCAGATACACGTTGAGGAAGAGGCCGTAAATGAGCCTTTTCTTTTTTTTTATATACGAATTTACATTTTTCTGTCCCCAGGTAAGCAATATAACCAGAGGCACACTATCTCACCCTGAAAGTGCTACACATAAGAAATACTATCTTCTCTTCAATCCTCCACATGGTCCCCAAAGAAAAGATCACGCAGCTCACTCCATTAACCCCGAGCATTGAATAAATAACCAATTATTTTAGAATATAACAGGAAACAGGGACATTGTTGGACTTGGTTTAGAGGGAGAACTTACTATTCTTGATTATGTATATTTTTCCTTTCAGTATGACTTATCTTTTGCTAATTTGCCCTGGCTTGTTTACCACCAAGCCCACCCTTCAAACTCTGTCCCTTCCCATGACTTGTGGCTGCACCAAAAAAATAAGTCACCTACTCGTTTCCAGTTAGGGTGCCATATGGGAGAAAACTGGCACTAATATTCCTTCTGTAATTTTGACTTAAGATCTTCAGTCATATTGGAGATGGAATTCCTTGCAGCAGCACACTGAATGGCTCTCTCGGTTTGATAGATGGCAAGAGATGATGAAAAGCCATCACCGGAGGCCCAGTAATAAAGGAATAATTTGGGTGCATTTTGGCTGCACCCAAATTATTTTTTTTTCTTAGCAGAATCAAATAATGAGATGAAGTGGATATGTATTAAATGTGCTGGCCTCTGCACTCTGAGGCTGGAGCTGAACCTATGGCTTGGACATATTTGCTATTTTGATAATGAAATGGAAGTGATGCAGCAAAGTCGAAGAAGAGATGTGTGAGCAGCCAGCCTGCAGTGATGACCATGAGACCACTGTCAAGGTGGTTGAAATATTCTGTTCATTAGACTCTGTGCTGACCCTGGAGGCCATCAGCTACGCTGTGGGACTGAGGCTGTATCTTTGAGTTTTTGTGATTCTGTGAAGAAGAGGATGCTAGTGTTAGACCCTCGTTATCTTCTGAGGCACTGAAGATGATATTCTTTTCTTTTTTTTGTTTTTTTCTTTTTAGATGGAGTCTCACTCTGTCACCCAGGCTGGAGTGCAATGGCGCAATCTCAGCTCACTGCAACCTCTGCCTCCCGGGTTCAAGTGATTCTCCTACCTCAGCCTCCTGAGTAGCTGGGATTACAGGTGCCTGCCACCACGCCTGGCTAATTTTTTGTGTTTTTAGTAGAGACGGGGTTTCACCATGTTGGCCAGGCTGGTCTCAAACTCCTGACCTCAGGTGATCCACCCATCTCAGCCTCCTAAAGTGCTGGGATTATAGGCGTGGGCCATCGCCCCTGGCCTGAAGATGATATTCTTCACATTCATCAATTGGTCTTCACCCCTTCCGGGGATTAGGACACTCACTGACAGTGGGATAGCTTTTCTTTCCCCTCAGTTTCCTCCTTAGACAGCTGTTCCTCCTGCTTCCTGAAGTATAATGAGTCAGTATTTAACTGCTGATTGCTAAACTGTGAATTCCATCAGGTCAGGAACCAATCTGTTCTGTTAAAGAGCGAACATGTATTGCTCTTTCCTCATTTTCCGTGTACCATGTTAAGCGCATTGTGTGTGTATTATGCCATTTAGTTTTCATAAAGACCTTTTACTAATATTATACCCATTTTGGAGCTGAGGAGACTGAACCCTGAAAAGTTCAACTAATATTTCCACACTTTGTAGGTTCCCCTGTTATGTACCCGTAACTTTATGTTTCCTTTGGAGCATTTATCTCAAGTGTAATGAATTAATTATTTGTATCTGGAATCAGACTATCTGAGGCCATTTCTTTAACGGTTTCAAGAGGGTTGAGGTGGGCTCCCACCCCTGGTCAGATTGAACTTTTACCTAACGCTAGGAGGAGATGACAACAGTCATGGTGACTCCCAGGGTTTCCATAATTCTCCCTCTACAAATATATTAGTACTAAGAAAACTCACCGTGGCCTTGGGTGAGGCTACGGCCAGCTAGATGAACCAGTGCTGCTTTAGAATCCCCCTAAAATCAGCAAAAACACACATTTAGCTGAAGACCAAACCCCTTACCAAGAAAAGGAAAGCTCATCGATACTCACATCCTCAAGCTCGAGCTCTGTCGGGGTGTTTCCCATTGTCTCTGTATCTTTTCCTGCAGAATAAGAGAAGGACTCTCAAACCAGCATGAGCCGTCAGTCAGGATAGCCTCCTCTTAGTAACCGCTTGTCTTAGCAACACCAAGAAAGTGGAAACTAGCTGGAACAAGGGAGAGCTCTGCAGAGAGACAGATCTGAACTGGAAGCCTTTCGCTTCTGCTTCTGCTCCTCAATGACTCCTTCACCCTCTAGCCTCAATTTTCCCATCTGTATAAAGGGCACAGTAATAGTTCATTATTAGTCATCAACTTCAAGAACTTCATGGAGTTCTTGTGGGAATTATGTAAGGTCATGTAAATAAAGGCACTTAGCCCAGATTCAGGAACATACTAGTTTTTGTTTTGGTAAATGCCATTTATCATTATCAATAACAATAGCTCCTAGCACCCCTGCCCCAGCAGAGTTTCCCTGCCCCGGCAGTCCCTGCCCTAACAGTGCATTCTAGTCAATTGCAGACACTGGTTTTCCCCTTTAGACCTAGAGATGTTTCCTATGAGACTATTGAAAGCTTCTCCAGGATTGAATTTCTTCCCTTATTCTCTCCCATTTCCCACCCATGGAGAAGTTAGACAAGGTTCAGTTACTTGTAATTATCCATCAACCCATCACTCACTATGCATCAAGTGTTGGGTCGTGCACTGAGAATCCATAAATCAATGAGACCCAGCCTCTGCCCTCTGAGATCTCCCCACTTAGAGGGAGGCTAGTCATGTAAAAGGATAAGCCAATATTATAATGGGATCAGCACAATGATGAAGGATTACATAAGGAATCAGGTGGACTTTTGTTGAAATCTTGTCTTTTTTTTTTTTTTTTTTTTTTTTTTTTTTTTTGAGACAGGAGTCTCACTCTGTTGCCCAGGCTAGGGTGCACTGGCACGATCTCAGCGCACTGGAACCTCCATCTCACAGGTTCAAGTGATTCTCCTGCCTCAGCCTCCCAAGTAGCTGACATTACAGGCAAGCGCCACCACACCTGGCTAATTTTTTGTATTTTCAGTAGAGAATTGATTTCACCATGTTGGCCAGGCTGGTCTCAAACCCCTGACCTCAACTAATCTACCTTCCTCGGCCTCCTAAAGTGCTGGGATTACAGGCGTGAGCCACCGTGCCCAGCCTGAAATCTTGTCTTTACCACTTACAACTGTGTGGTCTTGGGCAGCTTATTAACTGCTTTGAGCTTTAGGTTCCAGTCTGTAAAATGCGAATAACAATAAAAGCTACCACATAGGGTTGTCATCAGAATTAAATGCAGTAATTTAATTTACTGTGTACTCAGTGCCAGCATACAAGCAGCACTCAATAAACACAAATACTAGCAGCAATAAGAAGACATGTCAGTTCTGCTTTTGTAGGGGAAGGTTGGTCATCAGGGAAAGTTTTGGAGAAAACATTTGAGCTGAGCTTTAAAGGAAAATCAATACTTTCCCAAAAGAAAGAGAGTGCCAACTGCAGAAACAGCAGATACAAAAGCATGAGGGTGTGAGCATGCACTTTCCTGTGTTTCCTGCTGCTTTTCCAGCATGGCCATAAGGGAGACACAGGCGTCAATACTGAACAAGCACAGGGGCTGAGTGTTCCTTTCTCCTTTGCTCACATTGTCTGAGCTCCCACCCACTGCTGCCACTTCTTATTGTTAGCTGATGTTTTTTATTTTTATTTCTATTTTTATTTTTTGAGATGGAGTTTTGCTCTTGTTGCCCAGGCTGGCATGCAATGGCGCGATCTTGCTCACTACAGCTTCTGTCTCCCAGGTTCAAGCAATTCTCCTGCCTCAGCCTCCCGAGTAGCTGGGATTACAGACATGTGCCACCATGCCTGGCTAATTTTGTACTTTTAGTAGAGATGGGGTTTCTCCATATTGGTCGGGCTGGTCTCGACCAGTTTCTCCATATTGGTCGGGCTGGTCCCAACCTCAGATGATCCACTCGCCTCAGCCTCCCAAAGTGCTGGGATTATAGGTGTGAGCCACCGTGCCTGGCCTGGCTGATGTTTTATTCTTAATTGTACCCTCTCTGGGACAGACTGCTGTCACCACCAGTGTGGAGAGCCACTCCCTTCCAGTATCCATGAAGTCTAGGGTCATTTAGGGGCTTGGGGAAGGGGAGAAAAGAAGGCATGTGGGGGCTGAGCCACAGATAACATACAGGTAAGTCTAGGCAAGGACTTCTCCCTCTGCAGCAGTCCGGGGAGGATTCAGAGAGGGGAAGACCTGCTTAGGTTTATGCCAGGCTACCCAAGGATAAGGAAAGGAGATGCAAAAAGGCAGTGAGAATGTCCTCCTTGCCCAGCTGTCAGATCATCATGTTGATTAATTACTTGCCTCTTTTCTCAAAGCGAGCAGACTAGACTTTCCCTTGCTCTTGTTGCTGTCACGACAGCCCCAGAAGACACACTAGGGCAGAGCAATTTGATTCTGTGGTTCAGGCGTCTTTCCTGAATTAGGTCACCCAAACCCCCGCCCCGACAGAGTTGCCCTGGCAGCTGGAGAGAGGTGGCCAGGCTCACTTAGAACATTGTTGATGCTGTCCCCAACTGTCTCATTCACCTGAACTCCTCATTACCCAGGTCTGAATGGCACCAAGATCAGTCTGTTGTCTTTATACTATACCATCCTGTAGCCAAACGGACAATCAAGTCCTCTGGATCCTGTTCCAGACACACACTGAGGCTGAAGCAGCTCTATTCCAAAATACACAGAACTGGCCAACCTGGAAAATCCCCACGGTTTTGGGAGAGCTCACCTCCAGGCTACTCTGACATCCCTTGACCCCACCCACCATTCCCACAGCCAAAAAATGAACTCTGTTATCTTTGGACCAATATCTGAAACATCGCCATCGTAATTTCATGCTTTTGACTTAAGACTGCATTCTCTGCTGAAATATTATCCCTTCCAAGTAGATTTGCCTCTAAGCCCTATCACTCATAGCACTTGCTATATGAAAATTATGAAAATATCAGGGAGTATGAATAATTTGAAAGCATGAGCTGTACCTCATTTACAGTTATATCTCCAGTGCCTGGAACCTAAGATCAAGAAGGGGCTTCATATGCAAACATGGCTCATTGTGATGTCATGGAAAAATATTTGGAATTAGACAGGCTTCACTCTGTATGTCATTAGGCAAGATACTCAACCATTCTTAGCCTCAGTTTCTTCATATTATAATAAGAATAATATCCTATTAAGCTTTCACATAGATTAAATAACTGACAAAATGAAGATTACAGTCTAGTACATTATGATTGTTTAGCAAATCATAGATTTTATAGTGATCAAATGTGCATATAGAAAAACCACTTGGCCGGATGCAGTGGCTCATGCCTGTAATCTCAGCACTTTGGGAGGCCAAGGCGGGAGGATCACTGAGGCCAGGAGTTCACAACCAGAGATGGGTGAAACCCTGTCTCTACTAAATACGAGAAAAGAAAAAGAGCCAGGCATTGTGGTGCATGCCTATAATCTGAGATACTTGGGAGGCTGAGACAGGACAATCGCTTGTACCTGGGAGGCGGAGGTTGCAGTGAGCTGAGATGGCACCACTGCAGTCCAGCCATCTCAGAAAAAAAAAAGAAAAGAAAAATAAAAACTCTCATGAGGAGGAATCCATTCTCCAACCAGGCTGTAAGTTCTTCATGCTTGGCTGTGGGGACTACATTTTTGAGAAGTCCTAAAGTAAGGACAGAAGTTTTCCAGGTGACAGGTGGTTTCAAAAGCATGAAGGAGGGCTCTGCATCGTTTTGCTACCTTCCTTATGTGCACTGACACTTCCCAGGACTTTTGCTACCACCTAAATAATGTTCAGAGTTTCAAGGAATGGGTTCTCAACTAACCAACTTAGCTTGTTCTGGAGAGGAGAGGGTAGTGGCTGAAGATGGGTGGACAAGAAACATAGAGCTCTCAATGGTTCATTAAATCAGTTGTATTGTGAAATGTACACAGTAGCTTTTTCACTGCAAATTTATTTTTAAAGTTATGTTTTGTCGACGTTTAAAAAAAAATGATTGTGATACTCAAAAATTTGGATAGAGTTAAGTGTATGAGTCAATAGAAACAATGTGTTTGGACCATGGATAGCTCCCAATAATACTTTTTTTTTTTTTTTTTTTTTTTTTTTGGAGACAGTGTCTTGCTTTGTTGCCCAGGCTGGAGTGCAATGGTGTGATCTCAGGTCACTGCAACCTCTGCCTGGGTTCAAGCAGTTCTCCTGCCTCAGCCTCCTGAGTAGCTGGGACTACAGGCACACGCCACCATACCTGGTGAATTTTTGTATTTTTAGTAGAGATGGGGTTTCACCATGTCAGCCAGGCTGGTCTTGAACTCCTGACCTCAAATGATTCACCCGCCTCAGCCTCCCAAAGTGCTGGGATTATAGGCATGAGCCACAGCACCCGGCCAGCTCCCAGTAATTCTGTTCTCTCCTTGAGCCTCTGTCATGAGGTAGTCTCCACTAACTCTGTATTTCCCCATGCCCAGATTGGGGACCGTGTCATGGCATTTGTCAATTACAATGCCTGGGCAGAGGTGGTCTGCACACCAGTGGAGTTTGTCTACAAGATCCCGGATGACATGAGCTTCTCCGAGGCTGCTGCATTCCCCATGAACTTCGTCACAGCCTACATGATGCTGTTTGAAGTTGCTAACCTCCGGGAAGGGATGTCTGTGCTCGTGCACTCAGCTGGTGGTGGCGTGGTAAGTCAGCTGTTTGTAACTTCTCTTCTTTAAGGTCATGATGGTGGAAGTGGAGTGACACCCCCCTGAGGTCTTACGTGAGCTATGTCCTTTAGTAGGAATCATCACTGTGGTTCTGGTGGAGTTCACATGGACAACAGAGCCCATATAGATGATTGCATTGGGGATAGGATAAGCCTGAGAGATGGTTTCTCTGCAGTTTTGGAAGGTCGCCAAAATGACCTGTGAGGAAACAGTGGCTTTCAGAGATGGTTCCTGTTGAGAAGCATTCTCAACAGTCTTGGTATCATGATGAAAGGTTGTGTCAATCATTGTAAGATGTCTTACAAGTCATCTACAACTGCTATTATTTGAAATGACAAAATGGTCATTTTGTCTGTGATTTAGTTTTTTCAATAAATTGCAGTGGACTGGAGATGGTTCCCATATTAATGACATTCTTACTAATTTGTATTCTACCATATTTTCTTGAGTGGGAGAAAGGTGGGCAGAGTTTGTACTACCACACTAGAAATCAGACATAAACCTGAGTACATTCATGAAAGTGGGTGCACATGTCAATGTCATCAGTCAGGTGTGTCTCTGCCAAGGGGGAGAATGGCGGAAATCAAAATTTCTGCTGTGGATTTCAGGGATGGCAGAAGTTTCTCCCGTGGTTTGTCTGTATCTCAGTGCCAGTCATTCACTGTATACTGCATGCCCGCTTCCTGGCAAGCACTATGTCTGTCATTGGTCTACTGGGGTCTGGGTGGAACGTTAGTGTTTCCGAGAGTGGAAAGTACTACCCACTAGTTCAAAACATATTTATTAAACACATAGCATGTTCTAGACTCTGTGGATATAGAGATTAATATTCTATCTTAGAGGCTTTGATTGGTTCTCAGCGTCACTGATTGTGTGGTTTGATGGACTCAGAAATAAACTCTTATGATTTGGTGTATCTCAGAGATATTTCACTGGAGGTTTTGCTAGCATACCATTGATTTGAAAAAAGAAAAACTTGGCATTCTATAACTATCAAAACGCTATATAGTGTGGAGCACATTTCTGTTGTTTCTATCTAAGAAAACAAGCTCACCTCCAGAACCATGAAGGCAAAGATAGGAAACTTTAGGAATGCCTTAAGAAAAATATCTTCAATCACTTTAGCAAATTTGCTGATGTCTTTTGACCATGAATAAAGACATAATAAAAACTAAGCAGCCCGTAGAAAATAAATGGCTTTCAGTTCCAGTGGATCTGCTAACAGCAAGCGAGCCATTTAGAATGCTGGCATTTATGATCTTAGTGTGCTCAGCATACAAAGCATTAGAGACTTGTTTTCATACGATCAGCATAAGCTTCAGTCTTTACAATGATGCTGGACTCAGTTCTGTTGAGAATTCATGTTTATACATTGTTACCTATGATATTTCATTTCATGTTTTTATTTTTGTTTTGTTCTTGGAGCAAAGAAGAATATATCAGGGGCGTGCGTCTTACAAAAGAGAAAATAATCTTGGAAAATAAAGTTTTTATCATGCTTTATTCTGGGCTTACAGATGCTGCCAACAATACTAACTAAAGTATTAAACAGGTGAAGGAACTGGGGAAAGTGGATAATGAGGACTGGAAAATAAGTCAATGCACATAGCACAGGCTCTGTAGTCCTAAAACTTTGCTGAAGATGAACAATAGTTTCGTCTCTTAGCTTTCTAATAGTGAGTGAAAATAGGGGGAAATGGTCATCCACGTGAACTAGTGTTCATTTGATTGAAATAAAGCAGTTACTAGGGGTAACCATAGCTAACACTGGTTTTGGAGACCAGAGGACTCTTTCTTTCTCTGTGGTTTCTCATAAGAAATGTATGCTGAAATGCAATAAACATCCTCAACAAAGCTGTTATAGTAAATGCAACTATTTCCATGAAGTTTTTTCTTAGGGTGCGCTCCTAATGTAATCTAAGAGCAACAAAGTAAAGCAAAATGTAGTGAGAGCATATATTCTGGGGCCAAAAGGATGTGGTCTGGTTTAATCTTCAGACAGAGTTGAAAAGCTCAGTTGGACCCATCTCTAGGTGGGCTGGTCTCTCTGAACAGCGTTTCTCGCAACCAAGATTTGATAGGCGGTGTGTGGCAGCTCAAGGTTACCGTTAGAGAAGAGACTTTTGGCCAAGCGCAGATCCACATATGTGAGCACTCCACTGAGCTGGGATGGGTTGGGCACTGTCCTACAAAATCTAAGGAGTCCTGAAGACAGCCCACACCGTCACACTCCCCCACAGGGAGAGAGAAGACAGCCCACACCGTCACACTCCCCCACAGGGAGAGACCAGTGAGCCCCTGGCACCTGCATGTTACCTTACCTAACAAAAGGAACTTTACAGGTATGACTAAAGTAAGGACGTTGGGATAGGGAAGTTATCCTGCATTATTCAGGATAACCCAGCGTCATCACAAGAGTCCTTAAAGGTAGGAGTGGGGGCCGGGCGCTGTGACTCACGCCTCTAATCCCAGCACCTTGGGAGGCCGAGGTGGGCGGATCACCTGAGGTCGGGAGTTCGAGACCAGCCTGACCAACATAAAGAAACCCTATCTCCACTAAAAATACAAAATTAGCTGGGCGTGGTGGCGCATGCCTGTAATCCCAGCTACTCAGGAGGCTGAGGCAGGAGAATCACTTGAACCCAGGAGGCAGAAGTTGCAGCGAGCCGAGATCACGCCATTGCACTCCAGCCTGGATAACAAGAGCAAAACTCCATCTCAAAAAATAAAAAAACAAAAAATAAAAAAGGTGGGAGTGGGATTCTGAAGAATCAGAGAGAGATTGAGAGAAGCTCTACTGCTGGGTCTGATGGAGGAGGAGGCTGTGAACCAAGGACGCAGGTGGCCTCTAGATGCTGGAAGAGGCAGGAAATGGGCTCTCCTCTGGAGCTTTCAGAAGGAACACAACCCTGCTAAGACCTTCATTTTAGCCCAGTGAAACCCATTTTGCCCTTCAGACCGCTAGCACTTTAATATCCTAAATCTGTGTTTTGAGCCACTAAGTGTGTGTTAATTTGTTACCACGTACGGGAAACTGATACTACCAGTTTCCCTGGGGGCTGCCTCTCTCCCTCCCTTTTCATTATGGCCAGCCCGCAGAGGCCTGAAGAAAATAAAAGCAGCAAATTGCAGAACTAGGATTCCTACCCCAATTTGGCTGATTCCAAAACCTCTTTCCATTCAACAGCCCAAAATGTTGGGAGAGCCAGCCCAGATTCTTCAATCCGTCATTTAACAAATATTTGTTCATCCTCTTCCCAGGGCTCAGCATAGATGTTTTCAAGATCCAAAAGACTGGCCCAGGTACACATTTCCTAACTTGATGTCAGTAAGATGACAAAGAAGATTAAACTAGTAAGAGCTGGGGCAAAAATTTCCTAAATAGGGTTATGTAAAGTGTGTAGCCCTAATGGCACCAAGACTTCTGAGTTTCATCAAAGGCTGGGATGGGGAATTTGCGGACAGCATGTGAGGAATATCCAACTAAGCTATGGTTTTAAAGAAACTTGAATACAGCATGGAAACATAATTCAGTCCAGAGCAGGCTACACTCTCACTGGAATTGCCCACTGCCTCCATGCTCTGTCATATCTTTGAGGACATTGTTTTCATCTGACAATAGCATGACCAGATGGCCCCAAATGGCAAAGCTCTTACTAAGATCTTTAGGAAGTGGTTGAAAATTGGCTCACAATCCTTTAAAGGAAAAATAACAGAATAAGTAACAGAATGAGACTCATGTTGGGACCTCAGGAGTTTTGTTGCCAGTCCCGTTTAATGAGCCTTGTTGATGAGGCTGCTGTGACTCTGAGCCTCTTGATGCGGGTGTACTCAGTTTCTGGAGAGTGGCGTTACTGTTCATGTGAGGTTATTTGCATTTGTGTCTGATATCTGATGCTTTGTAGTTTTCAGAGTCCTCTTACCTTTATCATCACATCATCTGAGCAGAGATTACTATAGGCAGTGAGCAAGCATCGTTCCCATTTTACAGAAGTGGAAGCTGATGGTTAGAGAAGATGAAGTGAACCTAGGTGCCAGCATGTGCCCCGGCTTCCCGACCCCATTCGATGCTGTCACTGCTCCACCACCCCCAGCCAGACCCTCGAGGGAGATGAGATGCCCCTCTATTCTGTGCGTCTTCAGAAACTGTCTCAGGGAAGATAAGGCAAGATTAGCACTCTCCCCTCCAGCCACTCTGACCTCACTCTACTCAGAACACTCTTTATCTTATGGTGCGCTCCTAACGTAATCTGATAGCATCAAAGTAAGCGAAATTTGAAGCTCTGAACTTCGTGCCTTTTCACATGCTGTTTTCTTCTTTCCAAAATGGTATTCTCTCCCAATTCAGATGTCAGATCCTCTGGAAAGCCATGCTGTCCTCTCTTGTCTGGGTAGCCTTAGCCCTTTAATAAAAGCTATAGGAGAATCCTTACAGCCTTTTATTTGTTTATGGTTTGATATGGTTTGGCTGTGTCCCCACCCAAATCTCATTTTGACCTATGGCTCCCATAATTCCCACGTGTTGTGGGAGAGACCCAGTGGGAGGTAATTGAATCATGGAGGCGAGTCTTTCCTATGTTCTTGTGATACTGAATAAGTCTCACAAGATCTGATGGTTTTATAAAGGGGAGTTCCCCTGAACAAGCTCTCTTCCCTGCCACCATGTAAGACATGACTTGCTCCTCCTTTGCCTTCCACCATGATTATGAGGCCTCCTCAGCCATGTGGAACTGTGAGTCCATTAAACCTCTAATTCTTTGTTGCTGTTGTTGTTGAGACAGAGTGTCAATCTGTCACTCAGGCTGGAGTGCTGTGGTGCAATCTCAGCTCACTGCAGCCTTCACCTCCCGGGTTCAAGGGATTCTCATGCCTCAGCCTCCCGAGTAGCTGGGATTACAGGTGCCTGCCACCATGCCCAGCTAATTTTTATATTTTTAGTAGAGACGGGATTTCACCATGTTGGCGAGGCTGTTCTC